CTACTAATAAATGCTGTGGCTGTTTACTGCCCCACCATGATTCCCATACACCTTAATTATTAACTTCATTAGCACTTAATTGTCTCCACACTTTCCCTAACTTACCTCTCCGGTCTAGACCACATACCTGTGTATGCACAAGTACAACCAATAATTTTCTTCTCAACATCTCTTCTATCCCTCCAAGAAAGGGAGATTAACTCCTGATCTTTTTAGTTAAGTCTTTTATTTCTAGAAGATTAATGGGAGTTGGCCATAAAAGTAAAAGTCTTCTTGGTTCAACTTTGCAGAAAATATAAACATACCACCAAAAAGAAGGGGAATTTATATGTGAAGTTATTTTAACTCTGCGAGAATTTTGTAAAGCATTAGTAAAATTTTCACTAGATACTTAGTTGGAATCTCACAATACTTTGCAAAGAAATAGTATATTCTCAATACGAAGTCTAAGAGTTCTGTGTTTACCTAAGAAACAAAAACAGAATGTATTTACATAACTGTACCTTTTCTTATAGAAAAGTCAGACACATGGCTATCAGGAATCTTTAGAAATAGCCAGAATAGTAAAGACTATAATAATTTCAGACATTACCAGTTTTAACCGTTCTTTTCTCCTTTTGCCAAAGGAGGCACTTGACCCAGGTTCTGATTCCTTTTTTCCATCCTCATCCTCATCTTCATCTTCATCATCCTCAAAACACCAATCTGGCAATAGAGGTGGGGGTGGTGCTTCTTCTATATCACCATAGCGACGAAAGAGTTCTTTCAAATAATCACCCTTATAAATTCCTGGTGGTCTGGCTTGAGCAAAAGTAGCAACTGCTGCTTCAATACTATGGAAAACAAACACGATGCAATTTCCTCACTACTCTCCATTTATGCAGATTCATCAAAACTCACTTATCACATTTAAGGCACCATATAAAGTATGTTAGAGATTTATAAAATAGACAAATCACAGTCCCATTCTTAAGACAACCCTTGTAAGGGACAAATTCATTCTGAAACAGTTTTAACATAAGGTACATCGTTAACTCCTAAACTCTAGAGGTAAATTGCAATGAATGTACAGAAGAGACCTGGGTAGTCTGTGAAAAATTAAAATACAGCTTTGAAGTTTGAGGTCTGACTCTAAGGGAAAACATCAGTCAAAAAAATGTGAGTAGCAATATGAATAAAAGGAAAAAGCATACTGGTTTTTCAGGAACTTTCATGAGACCCAGGCAATAAGAACATAGGTCATCAGAGAAAGGCTAGGCATGAGCTGAGTCTGACACAGGACTCTGGGATTATTGCTTAAAGCATATGAAAGGCCAGAAAAGCTGAGCTAGAAGTGCATGCAGAAAAGACCCACTGAGGATGCGTGACTAAGGAAATGAAATATAAAATCAGATGCATACTTCAGCTGATTATATTCAGAAGGACCTACTATGTGAAAGGTTTGTAACCAAAATAATGACCTGCAATCAATAAAGGAGGAAATTCAGTCAGTAAGATCCCATTCAGAAATTTTGAGTGACTAAGGTTCTAATGTCTCAGGACCTAAAAAGGCACTTCACAAACAACGGGTGCTTAATAAAGACATGCTGATTGGTTTAGAGTATTCCAAAAATACCTTCTCCATATAGCATTATAAGTTTTTCCTAGTATTCAGCAGCTATAAAAAAAGTACTACTAAAAAAAAAAACAATAGTAACTTCCAAAGGTGAATACAAACACGAATTGTTGGGAGATCTTGTCTCTAATAATCTTGTAAGATGTGAAAAACATGTGGACAAAAAAAAAAACAGAGTATATGGGATCCATAACCACTCAACTGAATGACTATTTAGTGCAAAAACACCAGGTAATGAATGGTATTTTTAAAATTAACCAAATCTAAAATGAAAACAAATTCAAATTACATTAATCATGACTTCAGCAAAAATTTGGCAATATAAAGAGCTAAAACTAAAAAGTCAATAAAATTTTTTATCAATTACTAAACATATCTTCTATTATAACAAGAAACAAATACCTCCAATCCATTTTCTCCACCAAAAAGGCACATATGAGGAAACCAGTGCGATTGAAACCATGGGTACAATGAACACCTAGAAAATAAAGTAGCGTTGGTTTAAAATTAATAAACACCTTCAGAGACCACATTTTACTTTAAAATTCCAACCTGCAATCAAAACATTTCAATCATTTTATGAAATAACCACATTTTTTAAAACTCAGCCCTCTCTTATAACTATTAATAACTTGTCAGTTTAAGCTGCTTAGAATCTAATTTATAACATTAGGTAGAAGTTTAAATGTAATACACATTGATTTATTAGTTACAAATTGTCTATAAGATCTAAAGATTTCTCTTAAAACTAAAAGATTCCAAGCATATTTTAAATAAGGAGGTATTTTAAACACACACACACACACACACACACGGCATACTTAACTGAATACAGAAAATAATACAGAAAATAATTGACTGATATACAGTACAATAAAAACTAAAAATAGTTCTCTAGAAACCAACTGTCTGTATCTTTATATTAGCTTATAATCTTTCAAAACAAACTTTCAGGAAAAAAAACCTGCTGAGAAAAAGAAATTTGTTTTTCTTAAACCTTTTTTTGGGACATATTCGAGATCAGTGTGGCCCCACCTCTATATTCTGAAAAGCTGCAAATGGGCTTCATAAATTATAAAAATGATTGCATTTTTAAATCATTATAACTGCTTTGAAAAAGTAACAGCTTGATGCACACTGCCAACATGAAAACATTACTGCCAGGTTAATTCATTCTCCTGCAAACCTCAAAATGAAGGTTTTCCTGTTATCTCTGTTTAATAAAATGATATTCTGACATTTAAGACTATATCTTTCTTTTTAATGTTACATTTTACAAACTACGCTTCTCTACATATATAGTATATCCTGATAGACTGCAATAAAAATCAACTACAGAAATAAACTAAAAGTTAGAATTATAAAACTTCTAGAAGGAGCTATGGGAGAAAAATCTTTGCAGCCTTACTATAGGAAAAGATTTCTTAGATAAAACATAAAGCAAAAGAAAATACTGATAAATTAGACTACTTCAAAATAGTAAATGTTTGCTCTTTAAAAGATGCCTGGAGGAAAATAAAAACACCAACCACAGAAAATATTCACAATACATATACCTGACAAAGGATTTGTATCCAGAATATATACAGAAATCTTACAACTCAATAATAAGATCAACAACCCAATTTTTTTAAAACTGGGGAAAAAATTTGAACAGACACTTTACAAAAAAATATTTGCAAATAGTCAAGAAGCCCATGAAAAGATGGTCAAATTATTAATTATCTGGAAAACACAAATTAAAACCTCAATGAGCTTCCACTAAAACTAATCAGGTCAACTAAAATAAAAAACTGACCATAACAAATGTGGGTGAGGATGGAGGGGGACCAAAACCCTCATACGCTGCTAGAAATGTAAATGGCACAATCACTTTGGAAACAGCTGGGCACTTTCTTAAAAAGTTAAAAATACAGCTGTATTGTGCTCCCTTTGGCAGCACATATACTAAAAATCAGCTGTATCAAATTACCCAGACATCCTAAGCCCGGTTATTTACCCAAGAAAAATAAAAACATATGTGCATAAAGACAAATGTCCACAGCAACATTATTCATAATGGCCAAAAAGTGCAAGCCTCTCAAATGTTAATCATCAGGTGAAGGGATAAACATGTTGTAGATCTATGCAATGAATACCACTCAGCCATAAAAAGGAACAAATTACTACTAATAAATGAAACAAGAATGATTTCAAAAACCATTATGCTGTGTGAAAGAAGCCAGACAAAAAAAAGTACATATATAATTTCATTTACATAAAATTACACAAAATGCAAAAATTTGTATGGGACCACAAAAGGCCCTGAATAGCCAAAGCAATCCTGAGGAAAAAGAACAAAACTAGAAATATCACACTTCCTGCTTTCAAACTATACTACAAAGCTACAGTAATAAATCCAGTATGGCACTGGTATAAAAATAGACACACAGACCAATGGCTACAGAGCCCAAAAATAATCCCTGCATATACAGTCAATTAATATTCAACAAGAGAGCCAAGAACACTAAATGGGGGAAGGAGAGTCTCTTCAACAAATGGCGACAGGGAAACTGGATAAACATATGCAAAACAATGAAACTGGACCCCTAACTTATACCACTCACAAAAATTAACTTGAAATGGATCAAAGCCTTAAACATAAGACCCAATATTATAAAACTCCTAGGAGAAAATGTAGGGAAGAAGCTACTCAACAATGATTTTTGGATATCACACCAAAAGCACAAAGCAAAAATCAACAAATGGGACTACATTCAACTTAAAAGTGTCTGCCCATCAGAAGAAACAATTAACAAAATGAAAAGTCAACCTGCAAAATGGGAGAAAATTTTTGCAGACCATATATCAGATAAGGGCCTAATATTCAAAATACATTTAAAAAGTCATACAACTCAATAACAAAAAAAAATCCAATTAAAAAATGGGCAAAGGGGGCCGGCCGAGTGGCACAATGGTTAAGAACTGGCTTGGGACGCCAGAGGGCCCCGGTTCGGATCCCACATCTGAGGGCCAGTGACACTGCCCTCTACAGCTAAGATGCTGAACAACAGCTCAACCTGGAGCTGGGCTGCTGTGAGTCGCCGGCGACGGCGTAGGCTGCAGCCCCTGTGGCAGTGGGTTGCCATGGGCTACCGTGTGTAGCCAGCAGCCAGCGTGAGCGGCCAGTAGCCGCAGTGAGCAGCCGTCCAGAAGCTGGCGACTGATGTGCCTCACCCGGAAAAAGCACAATGATGGTGCCAACTTGGGCCAGTGAAGCAACGTCCTCCACAACTAGACTGAAGAACAAAACAATAGCAACTTGTCTGTTCCCCTTCCCCAATTCCCCAGCACTGTTCCCATCCCCCTGATCCCCCAAAAATCTTAAAAAAAAAAAATGGGCAAATGTTCTGAATAGACATTTTTCTAAAAAAGACATCCAAATGGCTAACAGGTATATGAAAGGATGTCAACATCACTAATCATCAGGACAATGCCAATTAAAACTACAATGAGCTACCACCTCACACCTGTTAGAATGGCTATTATCAAGGAGATAAGAGATAAGTGTTGATAAAGATGTGGAGAAAAGGAAACCCTTGTGCACTGTTGGTGGCAATGTAAATTGGTTCAACCACTATGGATGAACATTTTTCAAAAAATTAAGACAGATTTACTATATGATCCAGCAATTCCATTTCTGGGTATATACCCAAAGGAAATAAAATAGGATATCAAAGAGATATATAAACTCCTATGTTTACTGCAGCATTATTTACAATAGCCAAGATATGGAAATAACCTAAGTGGACATAAATGGATGAATGGATAAAGATGTGGATAGACATCCCACCATTGTGACAACACAGATGGACCTTGACCACATTATGCTAAGTGAGAAAATCAGACCGTAGTGTATGATATCACTTATTTGTGGAATCTAAAAATACCAAAATTTGTAAAAATAGAGTAAAATGGTGGATGCCAAGGATGGGGGGGTAGGGTATAAAACAGATATTGTTTAAGGGCACAAACTTGCAAAATAAGACCTAGAGATCTAGCGCACAAGTACAATAAATACAGACAACAATATTGTATTGCAATCATAAAACTTGCTAAGAAACTAGAACTTAATCTAATCACTAAAAAGAAAGGATAATTATATAAGATGATAAAGGTGCTAATTATCATATAATAGTAATCATATTACAATATATAAATGTATCAAATTAACATGTTGTAAACTTTAAATAACAGTTATAGGTCAAATACATTTCATTTGAAAAAAATTCTAGAAAATGCGAACTAATCTACAGTTACAGAAAGTAGAAAGTGATTACTTAATCTACAACTAAGGGCTGAAGAAAGAATGAACACAAAAGGGGCATTAAGATGCAAATGCTCTGAATCTTGATTGTGGTTTCATGGGTGTCTATATCTGTCAAAACTCATTAAATTGTACATTTCAAATGAATGCAGCTTATTATATGTAAATTATATATAAACATACAGCAATAATGTTGATTTATTTTAAAAACTAGCTGTTAAACTGAGATGCCGGTACAAGTCTGCAATTGGCTTTAATAACATTCCAAATGTTAATGTTCATCAACATGGCCTTGCTGTCAGCAATTGACTTTACTGAAAATGTTATAATTGGATGGATTTTTAAAAGTATATCAATAAAATATCATTTCCACCTCATTTCTGTAATAGGCTAAGATTTCTTTCCAAAAAGGTTTTTGCTACTTAAAAAAATATTTGAAAACCAGCAGTTAGAGTTACTATCAATTGAGCTGAATCACCTATTTCTACATTCATAGTGAAGAAAATGATGATTAATATTTAAAATAAAAAACTTAGTCAATGAACAACACTCAATAAACATGGATACAAAGGAACTGCAGACAATAAGAACAATTTGTGCAAATGTAAATTTATGAATCAAAATAGCACATATGGCAGACTTTAAATGAATCATAATGGCTAGAGCACGGAGTATAAGAAAGTAATGCCAAATGCAGTTGGAGACAAAAATCCTGAAGAAATGTGTGCACCATACTAAAGAGATTATAAGGGCATGAAGAGATATTAAAGTATTTTAAGCATGGCAATAAAATTATCAGATTTCAGT